AAAAAAAGAAAGAAAGAAAATAGAATAGAGGCTACTAGGGACTGCAGGAGGGGAGAACAGTGATCTGTTGTTTACTAGGTACAGAGTTTCTGTTTGATGATGAAAAATTCTGAAAAATAGATAGTAATGGTTACTTAACATGGGGAATATACTTAATATATCTGAATTATATGCTTAAAATGGCTGAGCATAGTGTTACATGCCTATGATCCCAGTGGCTTGGGAGGCTGAGGCAGAAGGATCGCAAGTTGAAAGTTAGCCTCAGCAATTTAGTGAAGCCTAAGCAGCTAAGCAAGACCCTATCTCAAAATAAGAAAAAGAACAAGACTGGGGATGTGGCTCAGTTGTTAAGTGCCCTTGAGTTCAATCCCTGGTACCAAAAAAGAAACAAAGAGGGGGCTTGGGGTATAGCACAGTTGGTAGTGTTTGCCTTACATGCACAAAGCCCTGGGTTCAATCTCCAGCCCTGCTACAAAAAAAAACAAAAAACAAAAAACAAAAACACAGAAAGAAAAATGGTTAAAATGATAAATTTTGTTATCTATATTTTACCATAGCTGATTACAGACATGCCGCTGCCCAGCTTCTTTTTCTTTATTTAGTGCCCTATCCAGGACTGAGTTGGTTTTTTGTTACAGTTGTTGTTTGGGTTTTTTGTTTTGTTTTGGTACCAGGGACTGAACCCAGGGGTGTTCAACCAGGAGTCACATCCCCAGCCCTTTTTTTTTTTTTTTTTTTTTGTGGTGCTAAAGATTGAACCCAGGGCCTTGTGCACGTGAGGCAAGCACTCTACCAACTGAGCTATATCCCCAGCCCCCTAGCCCTTTTTACATTTTATTTAGAGACAGGGTCTCGCTAAGTTACTTAGGGCCTTGCTAAATGGCTGAGGCTGGCTTTGAACCCAAGTTCCTCCTGCCTCAGCCTCCTGAGTTGCTGGGATTACAGGAGTGAGTCACCATGCCCTGCCTGAGTTGCATTTTTTTGTTTGTTTGTTTGTTTTGTTTTGTGGGGGTGGTGGTACCAGGGATTGAATTCAGGGGCACAGGATCACTGAGCCACATCCCCAGCCCTATTTTGTATTTTATTTGGAGACAGAGTCTCACTGAGTTGCTTAGTGCCTTGCTTTTTGCTGAGGCTGGCTTTTTTTGGGGGGTGGGGGGGAGTTTACCAGGGATTGAACTCAAGGACACTCAACCAGTGAGCCACATCCCCAGCCCTATTTTGTATTTTATTTAGAGACAGGGTCTCACTGAGTTGTTTAGTGTCTTGCCATTGCTGAGGCTGGCTTTGAACTCATGATCCTCCTACCTCAGCCTCTGGAGCCACTGGGATTTCAGATGTGCATGCGAGCATGACTGCCCTGGACTGAGCTGCTTCCTGTCTACTGAAAAATGTGTTCTTTCTGATCCCTACTCTGAGGAAGGGTGAGAGGGGACCGGCAGCTGAACATCCCAAGGGGCTCAATGCCTAAAAGATGAAACTCTACTTCTAGATGTAAAAATAAAGAGAACAGAGACCTTAAAACTCTATTTTTGCCTTCTTTGCCTTTTGCTGTTCTTGCTGTCTGCCAACTTCCATCTCAAGTATTTCTTTCTCTCCCTCTAGATCTCTTTGGCTGTTGTCCTGGTTTCTCCTTCTCACTAAATATCTGGGTTTCTGATAGCTTTCTTTATTTCCCAGATGTACTAGTTTGCAGTTTCCCCAGTTACATCTTTTATGTTCTCTAATTCAGATTTCTAGACTCTGCAGGGGAAAGCCCCCCCCCCCCCCTAGAGTTTTTAGTAAACTGACTATTTCCTGCTCATCACTTTTGTGCAATAACTATTAGGTTTTGGTGCTCTGGTCAGGAAGCTGAGCAAACACAGGGTTGGAAAACAGGTTTTTCTGACGTTTCTTGGTGTTCTCCTAGGTCACTGCAAACATAAGTTTTAAAAATACTTAACAAAAGCTCAGCATTTGCTTCTTATGTGGTAAACTTTGCTTAAAAGAGGGCAACAAGCCCGCAGGGTGGCACATATCTAAAATTTAGGCTGGGGCAGAAGAATGCAAAATTCAAGGACATAGAGCGCTGGCTTAGTATGTACTTGGGTTCAATTCAATCCCCAGTATGGCATGGCAGGTTGGGGGGAAGGTTAAATCCAGCCTCAGTAATTTAGTGAGACTCTCAGCAACTTAGTGAGACCCTGTTTCACATTAAAATTTGAAAAGGCTGGGGATACAGTTCAGCAGTGTGTCCCTGAGTTAAATCCCCAGTACCACACCACCTCACCCCCCCCCCCCAAAAAAAAAAAAAAAAAAGAAAAAGAAAGAAAAGGGGGGAAAAAGACTCCAGAGAACATTTGTGGCACTTTCTAGGCTACTAAATAAATGTTTGGTGATGCTCACAATGATGACCATAATTTAACACATATGCCAAAGGATATATAGTGTGTTCTGGACTAAGTCCTGAATTAAGTACTCAAGATGCACCCCCCACCACCACCACCATTATATTCCTTGATGGTGCAGGGAATCAAACCCTGGGCTGCCTGCATGCCAGGCAAGTGCTATACCATTGAGCTTTGCTTCCAGCTCCCTTCCTTTCTAATTTTGGGCCATGCTTTGGGGCAGAAAAGCAAATAATTATCAAGGATTCTTTGTAGATCCTGTCTACAATAAGGAGGGAAAGGGGAATTTATACATTATAAGCTTATGTGAGCAAGGAATTTAGTGAGCCACCCCAAATTGCTAATGAGACCCAATGAAACTTCTTCTGTTCATGAAAGTAGCCTAGGTAAGATCTTTTGCTCTCAGGGGGAACTCTGATGAGAAAACCCTTAGAAGTTCTCAAGGCTGAGCTCAAAGGCAAAATTTCAAATGAAATTTGTTGCTTCCATTGGGTTCAAGCCTTTAGTCTTCCTATGAGAATGGCACTGTAGCAGCATTCTCATGCCCCAGGTGTCTATAGCCCCAAGTGGGGGCTACATTTCAAGGGGCTTGAGAATCCATTGAAGGCAGTTGCTAAAGATACCTTTTAACTCCCTCACAGAAGACTCTTCCTCAGCTGTGGTATGGGGAATGGGTGAGCAGATGGGAGGAAGGGATGGGAGGAGGATGCCTCATAGGGGTTGGGGGTGTGTGTTCAGCTTAGTTCTACAATTGAAGCAGCAGGGGAGCAGGGCTGTGAGGCAGCTCTGAGGCTCCAGGGGAAGTCTCCTGTAGAGCACTAGGAGGAAACATCCGGCCTATAGCAGCATTAAGGAGGGCTAATGTGTCTCAGGAGGGAAGGATGCCACCACCATAGAACCTCTAAATATGGGCACAGTGGGATCCAGCAAAGCAATGACTTGGGAGGATGTGTCTTACCCCAAACTTTAACGCATCTGTCAAGGTTGTTTCAAGCACTGATTTGACCTGAAGTCATTTTTCACTAGGGGTGGAAAGGCAAGTTTAATCCATGATTAGTTTTAATCACTACAAATACACTATCCTAGATCTTTCATGGCACATGTCTCAGAAAGAAATACTGAAGTTTGCCAAGAAGTTCCTGGTCATGTTTCAACACTTGCCAGAAGTATCACTGCACTCATAAAATGATAATAACAATACTCACATGCATTAAATGCTTAATTATGTTAGGTGCTTTGCTAAGCACTTATTTATCCTGGGTATTTCCCAAAACAACAACAACAACAAAAAAAAAAACTTTACACATACTAACTCATTTTAATTCTTACAATCTAATGAGGTGGCTAGGATACTCATATTTATAGATGAAGAAACTGAGGCACAGAGAGGTAAAGCAAACCAAGTAAGGTTGCACAGCTAACCAAGTGATGGAGTCAGGATTCAGCAAAAAAACAATCCTGAAACCTGGTTTCAGCGACCTTGTGTCTACTCCTATACTACATTATTGAGTATATCAACTATTTGCTAAGTAAATAGTTGATCTCTGAGCCAGGACTTTTAGACTTTCAGTGTGCACACACACATGTAGCCTGACAAGTATGTTCAAAAATTGCTTGATCCTAAGAATTACCTGCACTCTTGCAACAATGACCCTTGATCAGATCTATTCACAATCAAACAAGTTTGGAAAATCCCGATTTACTGGAGTGAGCACATCTGCCCCGAGCATCTGGAAATCTAAATTTTTGTCCTGATGATGCCTTCACTGTCTCTTAGGCTTTAAAAAATGTTAGTTCTTAAAACCTTCCTCACTCTATTATCTGCTTCTCACTTCCTGAAATGTTATAAGAATACATATAATTTTGCCCCTCAGGAATTCTGTTGCTCAAAAAACATACAGGGATATCCTTGTAAAATGATTGCATATATTAGCAGGTGTGTTATCTTGGATGTTTTTTGGTTTGTTTTTAAATTTGACCACCCTTGTAACACAAATCGCATGCAAACCTGTTGGCCAACCTCCCCTCCAGATGACACGGATAAACGCCCCAAACCAGGCTGCATTCTGACCGACATTAGCTCTCTCCCTCTGGGAGCTCTGATCTGCTCTCAGGCTCAGCCCAACAATGAGAAACTTTTTTCTCTTGTCTCTCAGGGGAACCTTCACGTTTATCCAATTCATTCTCTTGCAACCCAACTCTCCAGAAAAAAAAAAAAAAAAAAAAAGGGGGGGGGGGGGGGGGAAATCCCACCCCTAAGAGACGGGTCTTCAGGTCTGAGGACGTTACTTAGCAACGGCACAAAGACCAGTGAGCAAAGGGGGACCTGGGGAGAAAACTCTTGGGTGGGGAGACAGAGCCAGTTTGAAAACTCCATTTCATCCAGAGAAAAACAAGGAAAACACAAACAGAATGAATCCCGAGGAAAGCCAAGGGGGGCTTTTCCCCAGCGCAGGTCAGCTCCTCACTCTCTGCATCTCAACTCTTCCACACCCCCAACGACCCAGTCCTCCCCGCCCCAGTTTCGCCCATGGCCCAAGTGCCCTCCCTTTGCCCTGGCCTGACCCACGCAGGGTGGGACTCGGGGGCCCCCCACCGCTCCCCGGCACCCACCGTTCTCAGACGCGCTGGGACCTTCGCAGTCCGAGATTAACTGTTGGGGTTTCCGCTGCTTTCGCCGAGACATTCCCGGGTAGAGAGAGGTGGGAGAGGGAGGGGCAATGCACTTAGTCTCCACCGGGGTGACCTGGTCCGATCTCCTCCCCGGGTGGGTCTGAAGCCTACGGACGCCTCTCCCCCAGTGCAAACCACTGTGAAGCAGAGATGTTCCCCCTTCCCAGAGACAGACAGACTCTGATTCCCGGTTCCGACTCTCTCTCTTTCTCTCTCAATCTCTGCAAGTCTTTAAAGGGGAGACGCCCCCTTTTTTCCCTCTGCTTCTTCCCTACGCTTCTGCAGCTCCCATTGTAAAAGCAAAAATCCTAATCTTTCCGCACACTCTTTTCTTTTGTACTGCAGAGGAAAGGATTTAACCCTCTCCTCCCTGCGAGGGCTCTGGCCTCTCCCTGAGCTGTATGTTTTTAGAGACTGCCCCTCACTTGTTTTTCTAACTCTTCCCCAAGATCTTCTCAATGCTTTTTGATTCTTTCCTAATTCTGTGCCCCTCTGTTGGATAATGTGGCTGCTTCTGGGGGTATAAACTGAACTAAAAAACTGTCTGATATATCCTGATTAAAAGGCTAAGAAGTCAACTGCTTCCAGGAGAAAATGGGGATAGGAAAGGTTGGCAGAAAGACTGAGTGAAGAGTGATGGGTATTCTAATAATAACAGTGTATGAAGATAATTTACATGATATTTTCATTTATGTCACATAGTTTGAAGAGTACAAGTCTGCAAGATTATCACAGCAGATTTGGCTATTCCGATTTGTGGGAATCCCCTTGATAGGTAAATCAAAAGGCTCAGTGATGTCAAGTAACCTATCCAGGGTTGTACAGCTGTGATATAACAGAGATAGACCAGGAAGCCAGGTGCTTCTAAAGAAACAATATGACATATTGTAAAGATACATTATGACACCAGACTGCTAGTATGGAGGGGCGAAAGTGCTTGATCTTAAGGAATTTCACTTCAAATAGCAAAGGAACATTGTCTTTCTGTGTGCCAATCCAATCCAGTTCTCATAGTCAAAGTAATGCCACTAAGAATATAGCAGATAAGTTTCTTGGTGCCCCACAGTAAAAGGCAATTTTAGCTCAACATAAAGTAATTTTCTAACAGTGTGATGGACTCTCCAGTGGGTTTGTGAGCTCCTTATAATATATTCACACAGAGGCTGCAAATAATTTGTCAGTGATTCTGTGTAAAGAACTTTCTTTTTGATATGAAATTGGATCTTTAAGATATCCTTCATCGCTACAATACATTTGGCAAACAGCCAGATATCTTCAATTCAGCCTATACCCTTAAGGCCATTTTGTTGTTCTGATTATACTGTTTTTATCTAAATCTGAGTAATATTGGGAATAATATTGAACATAGACTATGCCAAATATGCCCTCTCCTCCAGCTGTAATACCTGAGTCTTCTTCTTTTGCCCTTATGTACTTTTTTGCTCTTCTGACTAAGGTGAGAGACCCTCTGAAAACCATACCCCTTTTTAAGTTTAGTGATGTAAATCTCTGATGGCTGTATCTTCAGAGAAAAGCAAAGCAAAGCTGCTCACAGCCTAGTTCACAGATTCAAGTTTCCTGCATTTCTTCCTTTACAGAAGGCTAGTTTGGCAAATGCTAAGAAAAGGAGAGGAAGACATAAGATGATTGGAGGGCTGCTGCTAACAGCTGAGACAGGTACCCACTTCTGAAGAGGTTTGGGAAGCACTCTGGTCTTAGCTTTGGAGTTCATAGAATTTTCATTATTTTCCCAGACTTTTAGGGTTAGGATCCTATGTGACTCCCTCATCCTCCACCCTTGGAACTCTTTTTCCTCATGTTGTCTAATTCATTACGCTTACTTTCTTGTGGCACACGGGTGCCATTGTTATTAGACCAGTGAAGGAGACACTGAGGCCAAGAAAAATCTCTAATTCTTCAATGATAATAGGCTAAATCCTGTCACCCTCTCACCCCACTGTTTCCATCATTTACTTCCTTTGTGAGGAAAAGAGAGAAGACACAGTTTTCTGCTTTTCTCAGGAGTCTATGAATTCTCCAAGGGGGCAGATTGGGGTTTCTGTATTTGTCTCTTTCTTGAATCTTGGCTGTCTTCGTCTTTTCCTATTTTTCCCTTCCTCCTTCTTACTGGCCTTATTGTGAAAGGAAGGACTCTTTCCCCTCCTCTCCTTTCTTCCGCCCTCCCCCATTTACCATTTTTTTCCCTTTTACCTCTCCTCTGTGGCCTCTTGACCTCCCCACAGAGTTACAAAAGTAGAATCCTTGAAGAGATGCTGCTGTGGGAATGTTAATGAGCCTTCCCCACAAAGGGGCAAAGACTTTACTTCACTGAGTTGGAAAAAAGCCCCTTTGAAAAGGGGTTTTCTGTGTGTGGTGATGTGGAGAGGGGAGGGGAAGGAGAGAGAGGGAGGGAGAAGGAGAGAAGAAGGGAGGAAGAAAAAGAGCAAGAGAATGAAAAAAAGGAGAGAGAAATGAAAGAGGGGGAGACTCAATTGCAGAAGAAAACATTAGAATAATAAATTAGGATAACAAAAATCTTTGTTCAGTTTGTTATGATTTTTGGAAAATGTTCCATGGTCTTTTGACCTTGTAAACCAAAGGCTTAATTCCAAAAAAAAATCTGACGAGGCACTCAAGGGCATTGGAGATAATAAAGAATAGGAAAAAGGGCCTTATCCTGGCACTCCCCCTAGCCCTTATTCCTTCTCATGTGGCAGCCTGAGAGGCTCTGAGGGGAACACTCTAGATGGGAAGGGGACCTGGTGGTAAAGATAATGTGATTGGCTATGTGATTCCTTCTTATTATATTTTCTTTTTTTAAAAAATATTTTTATATGTATGGACCTTTATTTTATTCGTTTATTTATATGTGGTGCTGAGGATTGAAACCAGTGCCTCACACATACTAGGCAAGTTCTCTACCACTGAGCCACAGCCTCAGCCCATCTTATGGTCTGTATTTATCAGTATTTTTTTCTATCAGTATTTATGGGTTTAGTTTTCTTATTGGCCATCAGTCTAATCATTTCTTTCTCTTCAGGAAGAGTTTACTGTCCTGTTGAAGCATTTAAATCATGGAGCCAACCTTTAAACCAGATCACCTGAGCATAATCAGTTTCCTTCATTTGTGTGTACAGGTTGTTTCTGGGTTAGTTAAGATGGATGATAGGTATTTTGATGTCAAAATCAATCCTTTAGAAGCAAAGATATGTTATTGCAAGCAAGTGGATACTTTTTTTTTTTTTTTGGTACTGGAGATTGAACCCCAGTCACATCCTCAGTGCCCCACCTCCCCCTTTTTAAACAATTTTTTAATTGTAGTTGGACACAATGCCTTTATTTTATTTATTTATTTTTATGTGGTGCTGAGGATAGAACCCAGGGCCTCGCACGTGCTAGGCAAGCGCTCTACCACTGAGCCACAACCCCATTCCCCCACAGCCCTTTTTAATATTTTATTTAGAGACAGGGTCTTGCCAAGTTGCTGAGGCTGGCTTTGAACTTGTGATCTTCCTGCCTCAGACTCAAGAGTTGCTGAAATTACAGGCCTGTGTCACCAAGCCCAGCCAAGTGGATAATTATGTTTGACTCTCAGAAGGTAACTGGAATGAGATTCCAGGGAGGGCAGTGATTATAGCTTAGTTGGTAGGGTGCTTACCTTGCATGCACAAGGCCCTTGATTCAATCACCAATACCACCAAAAAAAAAAAAAAGAGAGAGAGGGGGGGGGGGAGGGAGGGGGAGAGAGAGAGAGAGAGAGAGAGAGAGAGAGAGAGAGAGAGAGATATTGATTCCAGGGAGAGAAAAATGAAGAACCAGTCAGGAATGTTAATTCCCAGAGCTCTATACTCTCCTCTGGACTAGTGCTTCCCAAATACTGTAATCACATGAAGAATTTATAAAGAATTTATAGTCCTGGGAAGGGGACAGGGGGTTAGCAATGATGGTGGGATGTGATGGACATCATTATCCAAAGTACATGTGTGAAGACATGAATTGGTGTCAACATAATTTATATACAAACAGAGATATGAAAAATTTTGCTCTATATATGTAATAAGAATTGTAAAGCATTCTGCTGTCATGTATTTAAAAAATAAAATCAATTAAAAAATTAAAAAAAAAATTTATAGTCTTGGGCTCCACCCCAGATCTCTTTAATCAGAACCTCTGGATGTAAGACCTAAGATTTTTATTATATTTATTAATTTTTGTGGTACTGGGGATTGAACCTAGGGGCTTCCTACAATGGAGCTACATTCTTAGCCCTTTTCATTTTTATTTTGATCTTGTTAACTTGTCCAGGCTAGGCCTCCAACTTGTAATTCTCCTGCCTCAGCCTCCTGAGTAGTTGGGATTATAATACAGGCTTGTGCCACTGTGCCTGACTAGGACCTAAGATTTTTAAACAATATATAAAATAACAATGAACAATAACATATAAATTATATATATATATATTTTGGTGTGGGGATTAAACCCAGAGCCTTGTACATGCAAGGCAAGCACTCTACCAACTGAGCTATATCCCCAGCTAATATATATTTAGTTATTTTTGTACCAAGGATTGAACTCAGGGGCACTTAACCACCGAGCCACATCCCCAGCCCTTTTTTGTATTTTATTTAGAGACAGGATCTCACTGAGTTGCTTAGAGCCTTTTGCTGAGTCTGGCTTTGAACTCATGATCCTCCTGCCTCAACCTCTGAAGCCCCTGGTATTACAAGTGTGCGCTACCATGCCTGACAATATATTTAGTTGTAGATGGACACAGTACCTTTATTTATTTGTTTGTTTATTGTGTGGTGCTGAGGATCTGAGGAACCTGGAGCTAGGCAAGCACTCTACCACTGAACCACAACACCAGCCCCTAAAAAATCTCTTAAATGATTATTTTGCAGAGACAAATTTGAGACAATTGCCCTTAACTGGGGGGGTTTCTAAGCCATGGGCTTTATGGTTCCTAGGGGGCTGCAGTGTTGTTGCAAAGGAATCCAGGTACACATGAACCCA